GAGCCATTTTCTTTACACGACGTGTTGGTGCTAGCTGGCTAAGCGCATCTTGTCAAATAACGAGCAGTTTTTAAAAGAGAACACTCTCTACCTTATGATAAGTGAATGCTGTGGCATTCACTTATTATAAGGTAGAGACCGAGAGTAGTAACTATTAACATGTAGCTGTAATATACTCTACCTATTATTATAAATTATTTTTTTATTTATTTCAGGCAGAGCCCATAAATGTTAACAACAAATTAACGTATAGCTAGGGTTAGTTAAAAATTACATTAAAACACTACAAAATGAAAGAAAAATTCAAACAATCTATAGATCCTCACAAAAAAATATTATACACTTCTTGACGACTCCGTGGCGCAGTGGCTTAACAATGAGTGGCTGCGCTGGGGGTCGCGGGTTTGAATCCCGCACGGAACAAGTATTTATATGACCTACAAATATTTGTTCCGAGTCTGGGTGTTTTTCTTTGTGCAATTTATGTTTGTAAACTGCCCCCACGATACAGGAGAAAATCCTAGTGAAGGGGTAACGTTTTTTTTTTAAAATACAATAAAAAAATACAAAACACTGTTATGCTCCTCACTAATAATGCGGCAAGTCCCACCGATCAATAAATATCCTGATGATACTTTTGGTGTTTTTCCGGAAACGGCTCAGTGCGAAAGAACAACTCCTCTTAACTATCGTGGCGAAGCCGTTAATACTGCTTTCAGCAAAAATTCCTGGGGCGCTGCATTGTCAAGGCATCTCAGTATGGGTACATAACGAATATTGCTGCCTGATGGCTAGGTATAGCTAACCCGCAAGGTGCTAGTAGAAGAACTGACAAAATGCTTTAAAAAGAATAACTTTAAGTTATCCTAATCCGAACCCAATGCAAAACCTGAAAGCCATCATATTACAACGTACCGCCACCGATCTACACTCCATCTCCATCTCCATGTCATCTTTTAAAAGAACTGTAACCACTGGGTTAGGTACTAAAACTCGTAACCTGTTTCAAAGTTTTTAAATACAATGATATTTCCGGAAATTCAGTGGAGATATTTGAACCCGACTTAAATAGTACCCACTCGTTTTTACTTGTGTTCACGTGAGCAGATGCGTATTCCTCACAAATAGACAAAAGTCCCGCTAATAGATGGAGTCAACTGCACCATATCATCAGAAAAACTAATATTATTCATACAAACACCATCTACGTAACAGACAACTTAGGCACTCTTGTGTCGCCCCATCAGCTGGTGAACATGAAGGTTGAAAGGCCTTGCAAAGCTTAATCCTCCTCTAACGCACGCCATAATGTAACCCATATACTTCGGAATAAGATACAGCCAATTTCACATTTCTCTTGAACCTGTCCTAGTAAATGAATAACGAGGCTACTCTATAGGTTCTACCATATAGATTTGGAATTACTATTTTCGTAACAATATTTTTTTTAAATATTTTCTATCTCTTATCTTATATATTTATGTAAAACTAGTTATAGCAGGGGAATATATTATAAGTTAGTACACGCAATAAAATCCGTAAAAGTTAGTTTTATTTTAAATCTATAATTACATTTCGACATAAGCAATTATTTTATATAGATAACGTTTTCATATTTTACCCGTTTTTAAAAGTTATACTATTATTTTTAATAGTTTCATTAATCAATAAAAAAAGTGCAAATTATACATTTCGCACATAACTCTAGGTAGAGCTATCCCCATACTAGATGGAGTGACGCCATGGTAAGATATGCGGGAAGTCTATGGATGCAGGCCGTTCAGGACCGTATTTTGGTACATTCCGACCTATGTTCAGCGGCGAACATGTGACTGTAATCTATGGTTAGATGGTTGCCCGTAATGACAGTTATATTACAATGTTGATAATAATTAGTTTGAATAATTAATCACTCAGGCAACCTCTCATGTCAGAGGTACCCCGTGTAGAGCAGGGACGGTATCAGTGGCTGATAAATTAAGTTAGTGGCGTTAATATGAGTCACTGATAGATGACTACATATCTGTTATGTGCTATTTGCTGTAGAGACTATCGGTCCGTAGGGTCCACGTGCGGTGATCTTCCTAAAGGATCTGTATCCGAGACTGGTCATCGCTGTTGGGGATATAACCCCTCGTCTGCCGGCCAGCCATTTTGCAAATATGTCGCGTCTGCTAAGGCCTTAGCAGGTAATTTCGCGATATTGGCGCGTGGCCAGGCCTCTATCACTCCTGCTACCTGCGTGAAATAATTACCTAAAACCGCGAGGCGCCCTGGGCGTTATACGCAGTCGGGGCTAGTAGCACGTTGTAGGCGATTCAATGTTAAAGTTTTTTAACGCAAATACTTTTATGTAAATACTTTTATGTTTACGTAAATAGTTTTATGTAAATACTTGTTGAAATAGTTTTTGTTTAGTGTTTAGTATATTTAATAGTAGGTAAAAATAGTTGTAAAAGTTTTAATGTGAATTTAGGTATTCACATTAAAACTTTTACAACTATTTTATTTTAAATACATTATTACAAAAATTAGTTATAATTTACTTCACTATCCAAGTATTTACTTACATACATAGTTATACTTGTATTTTGTAATTAAAATATTTTAAGTTATAATAATACAAAATACTGAAATTAAAACTTTGTATACTAAGAAGATTTAAGTAAGTAGAATCGATCACGTTTTTGTTAGGAAATGTATTTCAGGTTTATTTGTTGTTTACAATATCTACCTATTTATACCGAACCATAAGGGCGAAATTACGGTCAGTAGATCATAGTCAGAATAGGTACTTCACATAAGTAACATAATTAACATTTCGCAATGTATTTTTTTACTTTCTATTGACATCCCTTAATAACCACTGAAAGTCCACCGTGACTTAGGAAGCGGAAAAGATGCAAGGTAATATGGACACTGACGCGCAGCGATAAAGTTTTATTTAGCTTGCGTGCGCGATTAACCTGATTAATAATAATTATGTAGGCTATTAAACGTCGGCAAGCAGTTGACATCAAAGGAGTGCAACTTCTGTACGTAGTACTATTATTTATTCTGTGGCGTGGCGATTAAATTAGTAACTTCTCTAAAATATTGTATAGAAGCTATGTATAAAACTTATGTCATATGAATTGTTATATTATTTGCTAATAATCTGTAGATATCTTAGTTGAATACAACTTAATAGATTTTATTAAGCCAATTTCAAAGTTGGAAAACCAAATTTTTAATAGTATTTTGTGCATAATTTGTGAAAATTAAACAAAAAATCATTCTTTTATAAAATAAATGTAATTTATTTTCATCAATATACACTAATTTATAATAAAAAAGCAAAAGAACCACACATTCCTATATATTTTTACCCCAAAAGTTTATTAAAATCTTACCACATGAACAGCAACCCAAGCGTCGCACAAAAAATAGCATATATCGTTACTTTTATTTTGAGAAATGAGCAAGTCAAGTGGCGTGCGATAATTTTAACATTAAGTATGGTTCAACTTCTTAATTTAGACAAAGTTTCATTTCTAAAAAGTATTTAATGTATTTTTAATCAACAATAGAGGTAAATGTAAGGTAAGTATATACTTACTTGTTACGACCGTTTATGTTCTAAAAACTTTTTTCTATAAAAAGGATACATATCCCTGAATTATGAATTAAAAAATGTTGGTTATTAACCCTTCCACGTTTAAATAGCACCAAACTTCACTATTTGTTCGATTTACGAATAAAAAAGCGACGTTCGCATGCGACTGCTACACAGGCTATTTATTCAAATTTCTAAACATTGTAATACTTTAGTAGCTTTGTATCGCATCCTCTTTCTTTCGTTTATAATTTTCTATAGTATATAAGTGTGATAGAAATCATTGTCGCTGGTTATTTTACCCGCCAAATACGCAGTCGCGGATCGGCCAGAATCTGGTCGCTTGCCAGACGCGCGTAATTAACTATCGGCCAGAATCGGGCCGGTCGCCTCACAAGGGCTAAGTACATCAATTCAATGAGGATACGCAACGGTCTTGGCACGATATTACATATGAGGTAGGACTGTATGATAATTTAAATTATTAGTTTTAATTTTATTTCATAATAAATGTTTAGTATTGTATATTATATTTCAATATAATAGCTGTTTTAGTTAAAAAAATTAGTCCGATTAATATTAATAATAAATTAATAAATGATCAAGATGTTTAACAAAATTAAATTCGTAGATTAACCATATTTTTTTCAGATAAATAAATACATAAATAAATTTGCCAACCCTACATAGTCGTACTCCTATTCATTATATTGAAACATCCGACTGCAAATGTTCTCTCTCCATTAAATGCCGCCGCATGAATCGTTTTAATAAAGCTAGCGAAAAGGTATTTTCTTTGTACTTTATGAACTTGTTTTTATACTCGTAGCAGCTATGTTCCGACCAATTTTTACTGTCTTTTCTCTAGCGAATCAAAAATTGTTAATTGTAAAAAGTAATTATTTCAACTTTAGTAACATATTTACAACTATATTAAATATATATATACATTATTATTTTTATATAATCTATACTAATATAATAAAGCAGAAGTTTTTTTTGTGTTTTTTTTTTTGTTTATTTAAATACGCAAATATCTGAAACTACCAGTCCGATTTGAAAAATTATTATTGTACATTGTAAATAATAGGGATGATGGAATTAAATAGAACGCGCAAAGGGCCGCTGCCTGGAGGTTGCCAGGGCGCGTCTGTAGCTGGCGCTGGACGCGACAGCATGCGAACCGCCAGCCGAGCGTGAGGTGCTGCAAGACCCCCCAGCAGCCCCTCGCATCCATCATCTCCACCTTGGTTGGTTTCGGCAGGGTCTTCGCGGGCCCAGCAATCGGCACCCACCACTGGTGGAGTACACCGCATGCGTTGGACAACCCAGATGAACAACAACGCATTGCGCGCGTATTTTGGGGTGAAAGAGAGAAACTGAAGGTTTTGCGTATCGGGCAAGGATGCATCGACTTTTTGCTGAGCTGGAGCCATCTGTAACCGTCACTGAGCAAAACCTGGCAGACCGAGTTCGGTATATCTTGCGCTCAAATGCATTTGATGTCACCGAACTCGAACGGCTACGACGTGAGGCTGTTCCTTCATCGAGTGAAAATGCTGCGGCTGAGGATGCGGCGCCACAACTTGCTGAGCAAACGGCAAATGTGGATGCCGTCGTGAATACACCAGTTGTGGTTGATTCAAACGATGATGGAACAGTCGCCCAGGGACTGGAACTGGAGCAAATGAGGAGTACATTGGAAGAGGCGATTGTGGAAACGCGCAGTACGCCTCTCGAAAATCGACCGCGACTTCCCCGCTTAGCCCTAAGCAAGCGGAATCGGGCTGTCGTGAGGGCTCTGAACCCAATGCTGGTTACCTATTTGGAAGCCAGCCGGGACCTTTGCGAGACGGACTCAATTCTTTTTGGCGCCGCACTGGCAGTCTGCCGTATTATAGGCGCCAAACTGTCTACGGTTGGATGCGCTACGGGACAAAGTAGTGCTATCCCAGCCTGGAGAATAAGAATTGAAGAACGTATCGCAAAGGCTAGGGCCCTCATCGGCAGACTGATATGCTTCAGGTCAGGCAATACCAGGCCAAGGATTGTGCGCACTGTCAGGATGGCGTTTGCTGGGACAAATGTTAGTTTGTCCCAGCCGGATATAATGCAAAAACTGACGGAGCGCATAGACGACCTGAAGCAAAGAATCGCTGCTTAGGGAAATAAGTATATCGCCGAAATAGGGTTTCGGCGATATACCGAGAGGTCGACACGGTTCAACCAGAATCATCTCTTCCAAAGTGATCAGAAGAGGCTCTATAAATCATTGGAGCGACCAATAGTAAGTGGAACGGGCCCAGCACCAAATCAGGCCGACACGGTCGCATTCTGGCGCAGCCTGTGGTCATAGCCCGTAAACGCCCGTAAGGGCCCTTGGACGGAAGTTGTGGCGAGTCAATATGCGGGTATTACGCCCATGGACCCCGTCATTATAACGCCGGATGACGTAGCTGAGGCGGTCGTAGGGCCCCGAACTGGAAAAGTCTGAGGCTTGACGGGCTGCATCACTACTGGCTGAAGGGGTTTATGGTGTGTCACGCTGTGCTCGCCCGACAGTTTCAAGAGGCTCTCAACCAGAAGTCGCTCCCAAGCCTCTTCACTACTGGGATCACTCATTTGGTTCCTAAAGATAAGGGTGCCACAGACCCGAGCAAATACCGCCCCATCACGTGTCTACCGACCATATACAAGACACTAACATCCATTTTGAGCGCGAGAATCGCTCGTCACCTGGACTCAAATCAGGTGATGTCGCGCGCACAAAATGGATGTCGGGGCGGGGCGGTCGTGGAACAAAGGAACCACTCCTCATTGACGCGGTCATTGGCAAAGTGGTGAAACGCAACCGTCGGAACTTCTCCGCCGCCTGTATAGATTACAGAAAGGCATTTAACTCGGTGCCCCATACATGGCTAAAGAGGGTCCTCGAGCTGTTCAAGATTGACTGTACAATTCTAGACTTCCTCGAGCTGTGTATGGGGCAGTGGAGTACGATCCTCTGTCATCTAGGCGAGCGGATGACGACTGCGGAAAGCCGCATAAGTATAAGAAGGGGTATATTCCAGGGCGACTATCTGAGTCCAATCTGGTTCTGCCTCTCTTTGAACCCTGTCAGTACTTTACTGGAGGGCTCCGGGAGGGGATTTCAGCTTCGGAAACGAGGTACAAAAGTGACCCACCTTTTCTATATGTATTACCTTAGATTATTCGCCTCCAGTCGCTCCCATCTTATGGAATTGCTATACACCACTTGTGAATTTAGCAATTCTATTAGAATGGAGCTGGGGACGAATAAGTGTGCGGTCCTCCATGTTGAAAGGGGAAGGGTTGCTAACTCTGAGGGCTTAAACTTATCTATGCCCGTCAAGTTAAGGCCCTTTCCGAGGCTGAAACATACCGATACCTGGGTATGTCATAAAACATCGGTATCGATGAGGCTGGTATGAAACAGTCTGTTTGCGACGTGTTTTATGCACGCTTGACCAAAGTGCTTAACAGCCTTTTGTCCGGTGTGAATAAGATACATGTATATAACGGTTGGGTCAAGCCTGTCCTCATGTATACCTTTGGCATACTCAGGTGGAGTCAGACTGAAGTTAACGCCCTGGATAGAAAAGTCCGCACTACAATGACGTCCCATAGGATGCATTATCCGAGATCGTAATGAGTAATGAGGCTGTACTTGCCGCGAAAGCATGGTGGGCGTGGCTTCCTGAGCGCGCTCACCACGCATAATCGCGAAGTGTACAGCCTCCGTCATTACTTCCTGGCGAGATCGGATGATCCATTCTATAATGACGTCATTTCTAGTGATAAAGGACTTACCTCTCTCCATGGGAGGTACTACAGGGTTCTACATGAGCCTCACGTAGATACAGCCGCCTCCCTGAACTGGCTACGTTTTGGTGACCTCTTCGGGGAAACCGAGGGTTTTGTCTGTGCAATACAGGATCAGGTTATTAAGACCAGCAACTATGGCATCCCGGGGAGTCACTTAGGCATGTCATCTCCGGTTGTTCGGAGCTTTCTAACTCTGAGTACCTGCACAGGCACAACCTAGTAGCCAGAATTCTACACCAGGAGCTCGCTCGCTTGCGACGAGCGCTTCCGATTATCGTACAATAGCCACTTTTCATCACAAGTAATGATTAGATTTAAGATCCCTTCATTTTTGTATCGGTTGAGCAAAGTAACACAGCTGTCGACGCGTGTTTGCAAGTTCATCGTTCAAGTTTTTTTTTACTATCTCAATGTGATTCAAGTGGATTAATACTGTTTCATCACTCACCCCGAAGCCTGCAGCTACCTCTGAAGTGCATTGTGATGAATTCTCTTCCACAATAGCCTTTAATTCTTCATTTTCCACATTGATTTCCATTGTGCGGTAGTAAAAAAGCCAAAGAAAAAAATAGTGAGGAAAAAACAAATGAATAACTGTTTTCAAAACTCAATTGTACCAGCTAAATGAATTTATAAATTTGAATTTGAAATTCTTAACCAAAGAGGAGATATTTCACATCAAAGTGGTCAATAAGACAAAACGCTAATTTCCTACGTAAGGACCCAATATTAGGGTTATGGGAGAATACATTTACAAAGAAAAAATAGATTTATTTCATTATCCTTTTCTGTCATTCCACGAACTTTTTCACCTCCCCTCGTAATGACAGTAATAGAAATAATACTTGTAAGTTTGTAATGAAAAAGGCTTAGTTTTAATAATGTGTTGCATTTAGTTGTAAAGTCACTAATAAAATTTTACAAAAGTTATTAATAGAGACACAATAGATTATTCTTTATTGTAATTTTGGATATGTGTATTATTTCTATGAAATCGCAGCAGTAAAGTACTACCACTTAAAATAGTTACTAAAAAAAAATGGATTGTGTACAAAAGCAATTGTGCTGAAATTGAGAATAAAATCCAGTTAATGATGGTGTAACCATAGGCGGTAAAAACGTAGGCTGTCATGATGAAATCTGATTTAATGGTGAGGACAATCCTAAACATGTCATACTTTAAATTCATGAGCTGATATCGGGTGCAGTTGTACTGCAAAATATTTCAAGGATGCGCTTGACCGACGGTCCTTGTACGCAGTGCGTAGCAATATACGCGTGTGTAAGATCGCCAGAGTACCGTCACGAATTGTGAATTTTCATAGAAATGACAACCGCGATCCACGTACGCACCGATGGTCGGTTGAGTACTTAAACCGGCCTACGTTTTCATTAACGTACACACGAATTCACAAGCTTGTAAGCGTCAGGCAAGTTAAGAATAATTTAATATCAAACGAACTTACCAAGTGAATTTTGATGACATTTATGCGAATGGCTTCATTCGGAGCGATTTATTCTTAACGTATCGTAGTAGCACCTCTATGTACTAAAGCAATTTTAGTATGGTATCTCTACTAATGCTGGTAACACTACCCTTGCCTAGCTCAGGTCGAGCGTTCCCATTCGAGTCATTATGTTTTAAAGCTACTCAAAATATTTCACATTATTAATGATAGTGGCAACCCAGGGCAGGGTTTTTTGTTTTTATTATTTAAGTAAAAATGTACTTACATTTCTAGGGCGGGTATCCATAAATTGCTTCGAATGAAGCCGTTTACATAATTGTCATCGAACATCATTTGGTAAATTCGTTTGATATTCAATTATGTTTCACGGCTTCATTCTTTGCGATTTATTGTTAACGTATTGTAGAATGTTTAGGGGGAAAATGTGAAATAATATAAGCAGGTAAGTTATCACACCTTTATTTAATATACATTTAAGTATTACGTATTATGTATATACATTTAAGTATTAAGTATTATGTTATATTGCTTAATAACAATATTCAATATCATCATCAATAATACAATTTTAATTCAATTACAGGTTACAATCACCACAAAGTATTGTTGTGGCATACAACAAATTTAAATCTGCTATTATTTGTTTATAATAAAATTTTGCAAAGACAAAAGAGGAATCGGTCCAACCGGCGGTTTTTCTAAATACCTCAATATTGACTCCGTGGTTCTCTGCGGGTGTGGATGCATAACAAGTGCTATGTGCACTGAATATGCCACTGTCGTGAAGTATATCTTTTATCCAGCGGCTGAGAGTCTAAAATGTTATTTTCGAAAGGGAGCAGTTGAAACCAAAAATAAATAAATATTCATTACTACGAAGCGATTAAGTTTGATCGATGTAGGTTTCTAAGCAAGTTACGGGATATATTTCAGGGCGAACATTAAAATAAGGTAACCTCAACACTGGTTAGGGAGTATTAGGTTTAGATGTTTTGATCAAATCAGTTATCGTTATAGCTTTATCACTTGGTGAATTTGTAATAATACTAGATAATTTTATTCATGCTAAAGTCTGAACACGATATGCAGTTACCAAATCCAAGAGTGTTACGGTCTTTTTGGAAAAAGTTTTCAAGTCGAGGTCGGAGTTAGGCCACTGTTGAGTTAAATTATTTCGAACTGTGGGTCCCATTTCAAATTATACTTAGAAAAAGTGGGCCTTAAACTGTAAACTCCTTTCATGAATCGTTTAAATCTACCGTCATGAATTAAATTACTTAGCAAAAAGGACGATAGCGAATTGTAAGAGTTAATAGTGCCATATTTGGCACCGTTATAAAAAAATGGCGAGGAAATGTAATTCAAATGAATTACATTATTTTCAATGTTTTAAATGTGTAACAATGTTTCAAAAATTGGATACAATATTATAAAATGCATGGTTATGATCACTCTGCAGTTTCTGTTCGTACAGAGAGAGAGAGAGATTTCAATTTTTGAAACATCCATCATATTTTTTATACGTAGAATCAGAAGAAGACAATATAATTTCTAGTGATCTCGAGGACAAGCATCTCCTAAAACAATTCCTGTAAGCCTCGCGGCTATTAAACTCAAGGTGTAGTGCTGGTTGTGAGGCATTCTGAAAGGAGAGAATAACAAGTATTTATTTGGTTTAAAATATATTGGCTTAGAACAAATTAGTTTTTCGAATACTGGGAACCAGTATGGCCAATATGGTACTACTAGAATTCCTTATACTGTTTCGTTAATATTTTTTGTATGACCTTTGTTATTAGTGAAAACGGTGTGAATGCGTTGAATAACATATTTTTTCAAGAAACTATAA